CAAAGGGCCTTCTGGGTGAGGCCTCTTAAAGCTTGTTTAGGGCTAGTATACCCAATGTCCTATTACAACCCGAAACCCTATGTAACCCAGTATAGTAGTTTCCATTTTCTTTTCCATTGTCCCCATATAATCCCTATATAACCCCTATAGAACCCCCATAGTCTATCTACTTAAGGGGGACTATAATCCCTTACATGCTCCTGTGGAGTTTACACTATAGCTCGATATGAAAGCAGGACCATAACTCAAGGTACTCATCCTTGGGATCCCTAACTCTGAAACCTAACCAGGGTTTAGGGTTTAGGGTTTGGGGTTTGGGGTTTGGGGTTTGGGATCCAAGGATCTAAATATTGGGGTTTTAGGGCACAAATACTATAGTATTAATGGTATTTGGGCCCTAAAACCCCATTTTTGGGGTCCTTGCACCCTTAGATTAACCTAAACCTCGTCATGCGAAGCACCAAACCCTTTTGGGTTTAGGGATTTAGGGCTTAGGCTTTAGGGTTTCGGGGCTCAGGGTTCCCCCAAACCCTAAGGCGTAAACTCTAAAGCCGAGGTGCTAAAATCCCTAAACCACGAACACGCAAACCCTAAATTCTAAGCCCTAGACCACCGCATCCCCAACAGCTTTTAAAGCTGAAATCCTAAGCCTCCTGAAGCCCCTCCCAACCACCTAGGCCCTACCTACAGTAACCTTGGACCCTTCAAACAAATAGGACTGTACTCGAAAACTCGGGCTTCGTAAGTAGGTAAAGAAGAGGGTTGTAAGCAGACAAAGCCCAATCACGGGATTGATAAAGCCACTTTCTGACCTACTTCCTGAGTCCCCTGACCCTTCATGTTTGTAAGTCCTAAGCCCTCAGCCCCTAAACCGTAAACTGTGAACCCTGAAACAGGACCCAAACCAAGCTCCCGACCCGTAGCTCCGCACGCTGCGGGGCGTCCCCTCAGTCGCTCCATGGTGGGGCTTCGGGCTCTTTAGGCTTTAGGGTTTGGGGTTTGGGGTTTAGGGTTTTAGGTTTTAGGGCTTATAGGGTTTTAGTGTTTAGGGTTCTTTAGGCTTTAGGGTTTGGGGTTTAAGGTTTTAGGCTCTCGGGCTGACAGGGCTGTAGTGCTTTGCTTTTTTTAGGTTTTCGGGTCTCGGGGTTTAGGCTTCAGGTTAGTTTTAGGGTTTGGGTTTAATTGTGGACAGTGTAAGAGGTTTAGGCTTCAGGGTCTACAGTGTTTACCTACCGCTTGCTAGAAAAGGCCTCTAGCCTACACAAAGTTATTGTTTGGGCGCAAACTCGTCTATCTCATTTGTTCGGGAAAGTCCTGCACCGTTCAAGTTCCTCAAGTCCCAGCGAGATTTACCCCAAGAAGCCAAACACTAGAGACTACTGTTGACCCGTGATTAATAAACCCCCTCCCCCCAATAGGGATTATAATAGGGATCCTAATCTTAAGGCCCTTAAAAGGAGGGGGTTTACTCATCAGGGGTCTACATTAAAACCCAAAACTCTCAAGTCTAAAGCAACGCCTTAAGGTAGAGGTCAACTAGGCTCAGGCACCTTTTTCAACGTTGCTGAATGGGCTTAGAGGATCAGATGTAGGTTCATTATCCTAGGTGTCCACTACCCTAAGGGCCCAGGGACCCAAATAGTAGGGTTTTAGAGCCCAAATACCATTCATAGTATAGTACCTGGGCCCTAAAACCCTATCATTTAGATCCTGGGACCCCTAGGGGGTACCTAAGCATGTCCGAGGTTTACGTTTTGCCGCATACTGTATTTGTCTAGTACCAAAACGGTCAGACCACGTGATATTCCAGAAATCCGTCGCAGTGTTCAAAAATCCCCTGTAAGAATGGCAACTTATGAAATGCAAGCAAATCAGCATCTAAAACCGCAAAAGGAACATCAACGCTCGTCAACGCACACTAACTTGGGATCCTGATTGATTAGCTCCTTTCTTACGTGGTGAAACCTTAGCATACCCATCATAGTCCCTACAAAGGGGAGCGGCATAACCATCATTGATCGGTCTCACTGCTTAGCTTCCTAAACAAGAACTAGCAGCTGGCAGAAGCAACTAAGACCACGGCCGCAGAAGAGCTCCTCGCATCTTGAAGAAGCGCGAACAAACATTTCAATGTGAGCGAATGCATGTCCCAAACCCTATACTAAACCCAAGCTTAGGGATTCTGGAAGAGGAAGGACCCCGCCCAAACATACAGCACAAGCCTTGAGGCTAAGCAAGGGAAATCTGTCTGCCAGCAGCCTCGTATTCTCGACAGCGCTCAGAATACCTGATAGACCGCTGGACCACAAAACCCGAAAGCGCGTCGGGGCATCCGGGTGACGACCAGGCTTACGCGGTTTAGGGCTTAGGGTGGCCCAAGCACCTGTTTCATTGTTGGCACCCATGAAATGTCCCTGTGGTTGCTGACACGTTTCCTGCATGTTTGGGGGGATTCAGACGCCCTTGTCCTACTGAAATCTTTGTGGGTTCCTAAGCATCAAAGTCCAACACAGAAAGGCAATCCAATCCAGCAGCACTCGTATACCTGCTATATGATCATTGAACGAATCAACAGGCATATTCTCATTGCTGGTGCGTGTCAAGGCTACATGGAAGATTCTCTTAGATGAAGCCTTTTCATTCCACTCCTATTCTACTTGGTGCCTCGTGTGGAATGGGATAACGGATCCTTTTACTAGGCACTACTTAACATCTCGCGGTTTCTCACTACCCAACTATATGGAGTATGGTAGTAGTAAGTGTAGTACAGGTTTTGAAGAAATGCATGATGGTTCAGTACATGGACCCTTAGACGAAGAAAGGTCGGCCACTTCCTTTTTGGGAACTCCAGTGCGATGTACAGCACACGATTCCCGGAACTTACTGGTGTTTCAGGGGAAGTGGGAAGGTAGAACGTAGGTACGAGGTGATTGTCTATATTTCGAGGGATATTTCTAGAGATTCACTTTCTCACTCTCCCTGGAGCAGCAGTGAGGGCATGGGCATGCGCAACGCCTTGTGCTTTCACAGACGGCGGCGCACAACCCTTGCTACCAAGGCCGGCATTGTCACAGGCCACAGCAGCAATGTGGTGAGGGTGAAGGGTTTTAGGGTTTGAGTCTTAGGGTTTAGATTAGAAAAACGAGATTTCTCTGCACACTGGCTTTTTGTGTTGTGCAGCGGATTTGATTCACGAGTCCTGCGCAAACTTCTGGTGTGCTCCAGGTAGTTTACCAACGCATGCAAATTCATGGTAGCAAGTGCGCATGATATGATAGCACAGCTAGCTCGATTTCACGTGAAGTAGGTCAGAACTTCTGAAATGCAACTTGTTCGGCATAGAGGGTCCCTAGGGACCCCAGCGACATGTAGGGACCGTCAGGAGATCTGGGTTAGGGATTCTGCTAGAAGGATCGTCTTCAGAAATGCACAGATCACGGTCGGCCTCACCAAACAGACTTCATGGGAGCAGTGGGTATTGGCCCACTAAATTGCAGGATCTCGTCCAGTCTCATCACCTTGTTTGCATTGCGATAGCAGTAAGTACATATATGGGGAATACACAATATAGAACCCAATATACTATAATCCTCACAATGGGGAGCCTCAATGAGGTACCCCTAATTTTGGGAAACCCCTATAATATGGGGAATACACCCCTATAGACCCTAAACCCTAAACCCCCAAAGCGTAAAGTTCCTCGTACAGAAACCAGATTTTGTGCCGCATACGCACTTCTCACCCTTTGGGTGTGTAACGTAGGCGCCGAAACGGTTCGAGAGGGTTTTGGTGCATATGTTACAAGAGTCGGGAATAGACGAATTGAAAATGGTTGGTCCGTAGATATTTCTACAATTATGCAAGGGCTACAAGTATTCCCGGCTTTTTGTAGGCCATACGGCCTTCTGCGACATGCTAGGATTGAGTGGAATGCAATGTAATGTCTGCCTTCTGTGGGGAATGCGGTCTAGCATGGAAACGTGACGGGGGATGCTTATTCCGAGCTGCCCCTTTGCTGGAATAGAGATACTACTGTCTAACAACTTTAGGAGAAAACTGCCAATCAAGCCAATCAAAAGATAGTGAGGGAGGGACAACTTTCTGTGTAGGGAAGTTGCTCGCCGCGCTGTCTTGATCCAGATCTCATCGTGCCGCTGCAGTTGTCGATCGATTCCTTCACCCCAGCAGGTGGTCGTCTGGTTGTCATCCTTAGTTTTTACGGCAAAGCTTAGGGGCAAGCTAGCGTGTGGGAGCAGTATTTTTGGGTGCATGCATACATGTTAAGTTTTCAAAGGCACTGTTAAGCTGAACCATCGCAACTGCCTCGCTGTCAAGGCCCTATGAACTCTCAACAAAAAGCTGAATGTTTGACAGGTCTCAGGATCTCTTACCTCTAAAGTACTAAAACCTGAAAGCCCTTAGCCCCTCACTAGTGTGGAACGAGTGTCTGAGCCATGCATGGCGCAGGAATGCTGGTATCCACAGGCCACGTCGGTGACGTCTTCCTTTTCTCTCTTGCGCTAGCTGCGGCGGTGTTTCCGTAGAAGCTAAACCCCAAACTTGTATTGGCAAGCCTACATGAATGCCAAGCCTACAGAGTCTAAAGGTCCAAATGCCATTGAAGTTATAGGCACCAAACACATCCAGATTACAGAATTATTTCAAAAACACCTCACTATTGCGGCCACCCAAACCTTTGGGAAATAGATTGAGGGCTCCATTTGGCGAATCCAGCTTAAATCTTTTGGTTTAAAGTTTGGGATCAAGGGTTCTTTCGCCACGACAGATACCCGCATCCAAAACCTCCGCTCTAGCCAAATGTAAGTCAGAGTGGCATCACAGAAGGCCCTGCATGATCGCTGTGAAGGTTAGACAGCTTCCTTCTCGAGAAATACAGCCGCCAAAGCAAACAAAGCCGCCGTAACAATTCTGCACATCCGACACTAGCCCTAAGACTATGCAGCTTGTAATACGTCATCGCCCAAAGCAGGGTCAACCCTAAATCCTAGAACCTAAACTCTTTAACCCTAAACCCCTAAATCAAACCATGGAGCCCATGGGCTAGAAGCCCTTTGAATTAATATTATTACTTTTATGATTACTATGACTAGCACATTTATTATTAGTAAAATTTCTATGTTCAATATTATTGCTACTATTACAATGACTATTATTCAAGCTAAGCCTCAAGGCCCTCGACCACCACAGGCACAGCGCTGTTCTCCGTGCGCCGCGTTCCGTTGAACATGCCAAGTTGCCCTCGCTCTCCCCAGCCCCAGCATTTTACCATGCCGTCTTCCTTAGGGTTTAGGGTTTAAGGTTTCGGGTTTAGGGTTTAGGGCTTAAGCTTTCTTTAGGGCTGAGGGTTTGGGGCTTGCGGTGTTGGGTTTCGGGCTCAGTGCTTAGGTCTCACCCAAGGAAAGGCCCAATGTGAAGGTTGCGGCCTTAACTCCAATCCTCTAAACCACCCAAAACGAAGCCCGCAGCGGCAAAACCGTAAACTTGTCTCAAGAAGCAAACCTAAGCAGGTCCAAAACTTCTAACCCAAGCCCTAAACCCTACTTGTAACCTCAACTACCTACAGTCTTATGGTTGTATCTACCAATCAAGGGGACAATTTTACTAAACCGTGGGACATTGAATTTTCAATTTTGGAGTTTCCGGCATCTCCTTGAAGCCCTGACCACCAACCCAATGGACCCATATAAATCTACTTGAAGGTCCATACGGCTTCGTATCTTTTAAGCGGGGTAACCTCTATGAGGCCAGCTAGAGGTATTATAAGTAGGCTTATAAGCTGAGTTATAACAAGTACTTACTAAGTCCCAATGGACCTCCAAGTATGGTACATACTTGGGCCCTAAAATACCTAAATAGGAATCCGTTGGACCCCAAGTATCTAGCATATAACCCCAGGGTTAAGGCTTGAGAGTTTAGGGTTCATTAAAACCTAAACCCTTGTACCCCAACCCTCAGCAGTGTATGGACCCTTAGGTCAATGAGTATCCTACCTGGGCCTCAAAAGCAAACAAACTAATGGCCCAACAGTCATTGGAATCGCCAGAATGGCATTCTGCTACCTACCGTGAGGGTCCAGGTATGAAACTTAAACACTTGAACCCTAAGCCCCAAGTCCTGAACCCCAGGAGCCTAGCTTCTACGGCACAGCTGTGAAGCGCACCGGAGCAGATGGCGTCAGCATGCTCTATGTGTGCAACACGCACCTTAGAATCCCTTGATTGGGTTTTAGGTAGCCGTTCTTGACTCCTTGAACCTGCAGTTCTGCGGGGTCTAACGTAGGCCTTCGGGCAGGTGTTCCTACACACTCTAACGTGACTTTCCCTGCGGGTCTGTGTGGGCAGCATGCAGGTACATGGTAGAACCTTGGGGCCTCACGAGGTCATACTACACCACCCCAGACACGAACAGGGTCGAGTAGGGTTTCTCAACAACACTGATCCCCTTCCGGACGTCCCATCGTAACACGGCCATTGAAAATGCTCTAAAAAGTTACGGAGGATCAAAAAGGGACCCGGTTTTGAGAAACGCTCCATGGACTTAAAACCCTAAGGGTCCATGTACCCAATAATCGTATACTTACCCAAAACCTATACTATAATTACTACTACCCAACACCCAAGTACCTAATTATTGGGTACTTGGACCCTCTGGGAAACACTGGGTTACTTGGGAAACTCTAAATTCCGCATTCCTCGCCCATTCCAAAACCAAAAGCCCTCCAAAGCCTAGTGGTTGAACCTCCTTCAGAGTTGTTCCAGTGTTTGCAGAAGACAAATCATTGAGAACAAAATTTGGGAAGTGATGACAGGCCCTTTGGCTGCAGCATGTTACGCATGATTACTCGCAGACTTTTTTCTGAGGGAGACCCTGTTCAGAACGATCTGATCTAGTTTTAAGGTTTCGGGTTTTGTGCTGTCAAACCTCCTCCTCATTTCAAAGCCGAGATAGCGAGTGACAGCATGTTTCTTGCAAGGCCAGCCTGTTGGTACAGAGCTGTCTTGGCTTCTTTATATGTACTAGTACACAACAAGGAGCTGCTCTTGGGGTGTGTATCCAGGCCACTATCCCTTCCAACCCTGTCTGCGTGACCCTAAACCCTAAACCTTAAACCCTACTTGGAGGGTCAGGGAGACTTAGTCAATACACTTATAAATGACCCCTAGAAGCCACTTCATAATCCTAATCATCCCCACTAACCCCTAAACTAAACCTTCCCGGACTTTGAGGCATTCAGAAAGCTCATAGCCTCCCTGGAAGTCATGAAGGAGGTGTTTCACATATTTGCTCTTAGTTGCAGGAGCTCCTTGTACCCAATACTTGGTATATAGGGATGTTTATAATCAGGGAGATATATATATATATGTGTATATATATATGTATATGAATATATAGACTATACACATTGGGGTTTGGGTTCAGGGTTGTGGGATCCTCGTAGTAGCCGTAGTTGGGGCTCTAGGCGCGAATAGAGGGTACTTGCAGGGTTTAGGTTGCTAGAACCCTAAACCCTAATACCACTGAATCGCCACTGCTCAGGAACAAGAACCTGCTCTCCCCAAAATTAACATGGAACTCCAAAGGACCACTATCCTTTAAAAGGGGACCATGTGCGGTTGCATGTTAGTTTGGGGAGGGGTAATCACTCAAACTTCCATGCGCAAGGCACAGGGTAAAGGCTATCCAGCGTCCGCCCATCGCCAAGCTGCCCAAACTCGCCCCAACCCCAGCATCGCACAGTGCCTCAGATTCTGGTGCGTCATCAGTGTAGGTCTGCAAACCCTAAATTCATGCTTCTTGCCATTTTCATGTGAGCCATTGTCTAAACTCCTAGTATCCCCTTAGTAACCTTATAGTAGTCCCCTATATAATCCCCTAAATATCCACCTTAAAGGAGTTTAGACTACAGCTCATGTAGGGTTGATAAGGGCGCCCTGCGAAGGAGCCCATCCCGACCCAAAACTCCTCTTCAGGGCTATCTGGGCCCATATGAGCTATAGTCTAAACTACTTAAAGAGGGGTTATATAGGGGATTATATAGGGGATTACTATAGGGGATTACTATAGGGGCTATTAAGGGGAATACTAGGAGTTTAGACTCTAGCTCATATACGAACTACCAGAGTCTGCCCATTGGGGCCTGCTGGCTTTTGAGGGCCTCCGCTAATGTGGGCTCGTATCAACCCACTGATTTCTTTGTTTTACGAAGACCTGAATCCTACAACCTTTATCATGCTCAACAATGAGTCAGGATTGGGGGCAAGGGTTTGAAGCATTCCCCTGAGGGTCCAGCATATATACAAGAATCATACACTCTGAGATTCCTGTACTAGTGATTGCCAAACTGGTTTTGGGAAAATATGTGACAGTTATATACTTTGGAACCTTTAAGGTTCTGGTTTGAGTGTTCAGGACATAGCTTGCGGATGCGGGTGAAGTTCATCAGAAAACAGAGTAGCATTCAGGTCTCGGGCTTTACGATGGGTAAGTTTACACCTTATGTGGGCCTGATAGTTAAGTTCCAGGGTCTACGGCCTGGAGCTCAGATGTTAAGATCGGGCATTGGCAATCTGTTAAGGTTTAAATTATTTGAGCTATAGTCTGAAGTCCCTTAATGGCCCTATACTACTCCCCTATATAATCCCCTATATAACCCACCTTGAAGGAGTTTAGACTATAGCTCATTTAGAGTTTGCTTTTCGGGCTCAGAACCTTGGGCGAAGGACAATGCAAAAACGGGATGGCTTCGGGGAGGTTGTGTCTTCAAAGTCATACACAATAGCCCCTAAGGGCCCAAGGACCCAATAATTAGGTACTTGGGTTTGGGGTAATAGTAATTATAGTATAGGTTTTGGGTAAATATATGATTGTTGAGTACTTGGACCCTCAGGGCAATATGTAACTACAAAAAACATTTGCGCTAAGGCTAGCTATGTAGTCCACATCATTACATCCTCGCTAATACTCCTGAGTCTATAAACCATGAGGCCCTATGACCCTCAACCTTAGACCCTAAAGCCGCGCATAAGTTGCGCTATCGCAAAGGATCCTACATTCGTTAGGCAGTCGACCTCAAGTGTTAATGTGAACGGAGGAAGTACCACCTTTTAGACCCGGCAACCTAGGAATTACAGTATATCGAGGGTCCAAAGTGGTGCAATATTTTCTACGTTTCAAGGCCTGATAGTTTGAAGTTCAGGTTTCAAGGTTTTCAGATTTGGTGTACGATCTAGCATTGAAACGTACCCGCCACCCCCCTCAGAATACATGTTCACCCCAATATACAGGGCATCTTCTGACCTCATGTTCCCCTACACCCTGAAACATGGAATATCTGTCGGTAGGGTTTGGGGGGTTGACAATTCGGGGAGGTGAGCAGAAGCCGGTTGTGCCTCCAAGCCCGCTTGGAACAAACCAAACCGTAAATGCTGGATCAGAAGCCTACGAGACCTTGATATTGCATACCCTACTTCCAGGTCCATGGGACCTAGCAAATACCCTACTTAAAATACCCACAACTGGCCTTAGGGGTTTCAAGCGCACTTGTAAGCAGCTACTCAGTGCCAAGGACCGTCAAATAACCCCTAAACCCGAACCTTCCACGTTAAACCCCCCAAAGCCTATCAACCCAATTAACACTAAGCTTTCAACCCCCAAGCTCTAAATCTTAAATCCCATAACCCTAAATCTTGAAACCCCAAACCCTAAAATCAATAAAACCCAAATCCAGCCCTCTGCAGATGAGGTGCCAGAGACTTCCAGGGCACAGGTATGGGATCCCCCGGCCCGGATATCAGTTGCAGGGCCCAGCCGAGCCTGAGCGGCGAGAGCCGACAAGTTTTGTGTTTTTTTTTTCTTCTTTTTTTTCTGGTTGTGTTTGTTGGGAGGACGGCTTAAGGTTTAGGATTCAGAGTGAAGCATTTGGGGCTTAGGGGTGAGGATTCGGGGTTTGGGCTTAGCGTATTTGAGCTTAGGTGCGTGCAGAGTTGATGGCTGGGAACCGTTTTATGTTTACTCCTTCCTTACTTCCTGCTTAGGAAGGTATAAGAAGAGGAACCCCTGCAGTAGTCTCTGTATAGTCCCCGGCTATGTAGCCTTACCTTTTAATCACTGCCCGCATTCTGTACCAAGCACCACCAGCAAATTAAGGGCTTTAGGGCTACACAATTACGCGTGCAGTCTCTAGAGGCCTTGTTCTTGAGCTTTATCCTTCGCATCTAGGGTTCACAAAGGTTTGTTTTCATATTCCACGGTCTTCATAGGAAGTGTGATCTTCGAAGGCCTCTAGAGTACAGTTCGAACTCCATGCGATGTAGTCTACCTTGCTGCTTGCAATGGAAAGAAGGGGCTTTGCGTTCTTGTACGTGGCGCGCTTCATTGCACTTCCCAAGGGAAAAACGTTGATGAACACGGGGTCATAAAAAACCCGAAGAACGGACTCCTGGTTCAGTCCAAACACACTAAATTCCAGAAGTAATCTTTACACAATTTGGGAGCCTTTGGTCTCGCACTTGGGATGGTAAACAAGGATTTAAAAAGGGTTTAAACAAGTGACGAACCAGACCATAAAATGGACTTGATCCCCTCTCCGAGAATGTTAAACTCAACCCATAGTACTTCTGTACAGGCAAACCAGCCGAGTTGCTACGGGGCGTGCCTCCCAACGTCGGCTTCGCCCGCCGAAACCTAGCCTTAGCACGGCAATGACGACCACCGCTGATAATACAAACAATAGTGACCCCAAGCGCCCTAAACCTTGGGGCTTATGGTGGTGTAGCATAGGAAAGCGAGGTGCGGTTTACAGGGGTCTGGAGACGTATACAGAATGAAGTAACTGGAATTACAGCATCGTTTCCAAGTTCGTGCAAATGCGCGTTGCCAAGGAATGGCTGCTTCAAAGAATAGCTCTCCAGCAAGTCAAGTAGCTATCGCATGTGCGCAGTTGTCAAACCATGGCTACGCGCTGGCACCATGATGTAGAACTGGTTGAAAGACAAAATCGTGAGTGTTGGCAAAACACACCTATGCAATATGTGGCGAACGGCAAACCGCCAAAGACATACCCACAACTTCCAGCAACCTTCATAAACGCCGCTTCCGTGAATCAACAAGAATGCCGATTTGATTGGAGCTAGTTTCTTATTGTAGTACCATGGCAAAATGACTTTTGGAGTGTGATATTGACTGATATTGAAAAACAGAAAGTCATTTGGAAGAATTGCTTCATGAAGGCTTTGAAGGACCTGGCACTCACGGACAACCTCAACTCTAGTCTAGCCCCTCACGGGACATGAAGTACAAGCGAACACCGGAGTCATGACAACAGCAATTTTGTTGGCAACCCTGTAAGGAACCGCCAGTTACAACTAAAAGCACAGGTCATGAGAAAAACAACGTTTCAGAGTGTAACCGCTGGCACATGTAAACTACAAGAAGTCCTGGAAACATGGATTTCACGAAGCCTGTTGGCAACGGATGTCATAACAAACGGCCTTCTTACCCTTGAACCGCTGCTCTAGAAGTCTGCCTTCGCCGTGGCATGTGGTTGAGAAAAACAAGCAACACTGCTCCAATCGGCCCTCAACCACAAAGCTGGCAAACTCATGGGGTTAGCTTCCCCACATTTAGCACAGCAGCCGGACCTCCAGGCTATGTGAACTGTGGCAACATCCTAAACCCCAAATTGGAAATCCAAAGCCCTTGACCTCGAAACTTCAAAGCCACAACGAGGTGAAGTGTAGGCAAGGAGCTGACCATCCTCCCCCTTGCCCCAGCATTTTGCGCCTCCGCCCTCCTGCATGGCTTGCCATGAAACAGCATTGCGCGCGGTTTAGGGTGTAACAAGTATGGTTCTTAGTGGGGCACTGCGCCCTAACGTTTGAAGGCCGAAGGACCCCAACAAGGGGCCATGTCTTTTGCAACTTGTAGAACTGCTGTGCTGAACTCTTGGCTTGCGGGAACTCTAAAACCGTAAACACTAAGCCCTATGTCCTGAACCCTAAAACCCGAAATCCTAGACCTGTATCCCCAACACCTTATTACACCTTCAGCCTAACACCTGGGATCTAGGGACATATAAGGTGAAGGGCTCGCAGATATGACCGCAATAATGGAGAGTCGAATGGAGCAGAACATGGAAAATGGAAAGGCTATAGGTTGGGTCAATCCCCCACTCGGTAATGGGTATCACAAGTGAGTATTGTAGGTATATTAATGCCTTATCAACTCCATATTTAGGGGCTATTACTGTAGGGGGGATTGACCAAAGATATAGGTGGTTGAGGGCTTAACGATATTACTCCCGCAATGAAGACTCAAATGAAAAAGAACATGGAGCATGAAGTCGACACTGAGTTTTATAGGGGTGTATAGCAGTTATGTACTCTAGAAGCCTGCGCAATGATCAATATTATGGTTCGAAATTCCATGTATATTGGAATGAAGTGGGAAGAACATGGAATATGACAGAACAACTGTGATGACAGAGCGATTTCGGGCTTGGGGCACTGGAGCTCAGTTGGTCCCTATAAACCTTAAACCAAGCACTTAGAGGCTTAGAGGACTGGTTGTTCGGGCTGTTGCTGTACTGCGCTGCACCTTGGATACTGCAAGGACAGTTCACGGATGGTGTCAAGCTAGGCCGACTGTTTCTGACCCCTAAACCCTGAACCGCGTAGTGGCCCTTAACCCTAAACCCCAAACCCTTTTTGCAACCCTTCTTCGTATCCGCGGCAGGCCTTTGGATGAATATTGGGGGGTTCCCAAAGTCAAGGGTACCTTTTTAGGAATCCCCATAATACGGATTATACGCGTTTTGGTGTTGAGGGTTTCTCCCCTTTGTAGGGAAACTACCATATTGTACATGCTGCTGCGCCGTCCAACAGGTGTAGTGGCTTTCGAAAATTGTCGGTCCCTTGCCAGGAGAAACCCAAGGAAGGGTCATGACATGCAGTAGCGTCCCAAAATTGAGATAATTTTTTGGGGTCCCATTAATAAGGATTATATTATCCTGGGATCTATATTGGGGTCCCCCTATTTTGGAAAACTACCATATTGGGATGTATATTCCCCCAGCCTCATGTCTGGAAAGCCCCGTAAGGCAAGGGTCACAAGAATCGACACCATTGACCTCCATCTTTGAGTGGGACCTGAACTAACTCGTGCTTAGTAGCTTTTCTCGAAAGACGAGCTGCTAAGCGATTTCCTTGGCAGCATAGAAAATCCGCTGATGCGGCCCAGAAAGTATGCCCGACAGCGCCTATTATCAGCTGCATAGCCCGCCAAAGAGTCTCCAAAACTGTCTCCCATGGCTGATGGTCGAAAACAAGGCAGTCCAACATGATATCTTGCAGACCACGCCACCGGTAGGGCTGCTTTCAACAAATCTAACAAACAACTCTGCGGGAGGAGTTCGCCACTCCTGGCCAGAGGAGTAGCCTTCGGACATCCCTCTGACAGCGGCTGCTCCATTACATTTCAAGCCCTGACGGATAGTAATTATGATATGGTTGCCCTTAATAGGACCCCTAAACCCTAAACCCTAATAGAACCCCTAATATAGCCCTTAATAGGACCCCTAATATAGACTGTTACTGGGTGGGGGCAGTACCCAACCGTTACATTTCAAGCCCTGATGCGCGCTGAAGCCTGCAACTCCAACACCTGTCAGAACCAGGACTTTCCTTGTACCCTTAATCGGGGATATATGGTCCCTAATAGTGGGTACTTAGGCCCTAATAGAGTGTAGGGGAGGGTCTGGGAAGCCTGCAAAAATTCCTGTTGCACTTCGAATGTGAAACTTTCACAAATATTCTGTCTGAAGTCCCGCCCAATGATAAGCCAAAGGGCGAAAGCCTGATTGAACCCAATCCCTAAACCCTACACACTCAGCCGCACACCTAACCTCTAAACCCCAGAGCCCAACCCCTAAACCTGAAGACAAATCCGCATCCCTGCCTGCGTAGCCAGACAACAAGAAATGGAATGGTGGTTCTCACAACAGCCACTTCGTAGGAAGAATTCCTGATCTACGACCAGTGGTTGCTAGGAACAAGGACTTTACTTCTAGCTGCTTTTTAGCTACACAGGTAATCCCTAAACCCTGATCCAACCCCCCCTAAATCATCAACCCTAGGCCCTAGACCCTAAGTCCTAAAATGAACACCAAACCCTGAACCACTAAAGCCCTGAACACACAACCCAAACACAGAACCGGGCCTCGATAGCGCAGGAGTGCAGGCCTCCAGCGGTGACCGCCACAGCTGGAGCCAGGCCCTGCACCTGCACTGGAATTTCCTCGGCTGCATTTTTTTTTTTGGTGGGACTGCATTGGGGTTTAGGGTTTAGGGTTCACGGTCGAGGGTGTGGAGTTTAAGGGTTTAGGGTTGAGGGGTTTAGGGTTGAGGCTTTTGGGTTGGGAGCTCAGCGTTTGGCGTTGAGGGTCTAGAGCTTGGGTATTACATGCGGGTTAAGTGCGGATCTCATATCGAGTATGAGGAGTATTACTCCAGTTGAAGGTTTTTATCTAAGGTTGCATCTCCTCAGCTGCATTGACTGAGGAAATGAAGGAAGGGAAGAGAAGGTCTAGGGTTCAGAGCCTATTCAAGGATTGAAGTGGGAGCAAAGAAACAAGAAAGTACTGCCCTACACCCTGAACCCTAAACCCTGAACCATTGTTCAGGGCTTATAGCTTAGGAAAAATTTAGGGCCTGAAAGAAGAAATGGGCAAGAGCATGGAAACTACTACATGACTCAAGGATTGGGGTCTAGGGTTTAAAGTTTAGAGCTTAGAAAGAAGGTATGCAGACTCTTTCACTGCCCAGGTTTAGGTCTAGAGAAATGCAAGAGTGATCTTTACAGCAAAGAGTTCTACCAAGAGCAATCAAGAAGGAACATTGGGGAATCTATTTCACGTGACTAGAGTTTAGTTGCCGCTAAGCACCCCCTAAGGGTCCAAGGACTCAAATAATGAGGTTTTGGGGCCCAAATACCATAATCTGAATGATATTTGGGACCTAAAACTCTAATATTTGGGTCCTTGGACCTTTAAACACCCCCTACAGTGCCCCACGAGGTCCTCCTCAATCAAGTTTTGCAAGGGTTACTTGAAGCTAACTAAGGGTCGACCTGAGGGCGGGATACGTAGTTTAGGGTTCAAGGTTCAGGGTGGGCAGGTCAGGACCCATGAGGGTGTCAAGGGCGGATGTGCTTTAACTCGCAGGTCCTTCATCGGGAATAAGAGAGTGGGTTTCAATAGAATCGGGACTATGATAAGGATGCATTCCCTCATTGACTCATTCCTGACCCTGAATCCTAAACCCTGTTCTAATGGCAATTCTCTTTTCCATTCCCTCATTCCCTACTAACCGCCGGGTAGTCAGCGTGATTTGCTACAGGATATGCTGGGCTGCCGTCGGATCAGAGCTTCTGGGTTAAGATTGCGCCTAAACCGAGAAACAAGAACGTCATCCTTTTGAGACCGTGTACATGTATGGCATCGTCTACTCCAAAAATATCTCGCCTCTTCGAATAAAGAGTGCTACAGACTGTGCCAGCCCCGATAGTGTGCAAAACCGGGTCTGTGGCCTGTAAACACGGTGTCCTAACAGCTAGGAAAGCGCTGCTTCGAACCATAAAACCCCGCTTGAAGGTCCATGGAACTTAGTAGCTTATCCCTGGGCGTCACCTTCGA